TGCAGGCAAATTGATATAACTAGAACCATCCTCAATGAGGTAACCCACGCACAGAGACAAACATGGTACATACTCACTCATATATGGTGTTCAGATACAGAGCAAAGGATTACCAGCCTACAATCCACGCCACCAATTAAGCTAGGAAACAAGGAGGACCCTAGGAGAGAGACATACATGGTCCCCTGGAGAAGGTGAAAGGGACAAGTTCTCTCAAGTGAATTGGGAGCATGGGGGAGGGGAGAGGGAGTTAGGAGGAAGAGGAGGGGAGAGGTAGGCATGACAGAGCTTGAAGACTAAGTTAGGGAAAGAATAGAAGATAGCAAGGAAAGAGATATCATAGTAGAGGAAGCCATTATAGATTTTAAGAGAAAGCTGGCACTAAGGAATTGTCCGGAGATCTACAAGGATGATCCCAACTAACAATTTAAGCAATAGTGGAGAGGCTACCTTAAATACCCTTCCTAGATAATGAGATTGATGACTAGAGTATATACCATCCTAGAGCCTTCATCTAGTAACTGATGGAAGCAGAAACAGACACCCACAGCTAAACATTGAGGAGAACTCCTGGAATCCAGTTGCAGAGAGGGAGAAGTGATGAGCCAGGGGTCAAGACCTGGCTGGAGAAATGTACAGAAACTGCTGACCTGAACAAGAGGGAGTTCATGTACTCCAGTCTGATAGCTAAGAAACCAGCATAGGATCAACCCAGATTCCCTGAATGTGGTGTTAGTAGGAGGACTGGCCAGTCTATGGGGTCTCTGGAAGCGGATCAGTATTTATCCCTAGTATATGAATGGACTTTGGGAGCCCATTCCACATAGAGGGATATTCCCTTAGCCTATACACATAGGGGAGGACCTGGCCCTGCTCCGAATGATATGAGGGACTTTGGGGACTTCCCATGGGAAGACCTCACCCTCCCTGGGAAGCTGATAGAAGACAGGTTAGGGGTTGGTAGGGGGGGGAACATGGGAGGATACGAAGGTGATTGACAGGTAAAATAAGCTTGTTTCAAATTTAAATAATAAAAAAAAACAATTTGCTTCTGGTGGCACATGCCTTTAATCTGAACATTTGGGAGTCAGAGGCAAGTGGGTCTAAGAGTTTGTGACAAATCTGGTCTATGGAAAAAGTTCCAGAACAGTAACCGTGAGGGATACAGGGAGAAACTCTGTCTTAAAAAAAAAAAATCAAAATAAGGTCATCATTTTTACTGATGAGTAGCATTCCATTGTGTAATTGTATCACATTTCCTTATCTATTCTAGGTTGTTTCCAGGTTCTGGCATTATGAATAATGTTGCTATGAACATTGTTGAGCATATGTCCTTGTGGTCATCATTTGAGCACCATTTGAGCAAATGCCCAAGAATGGTATCACTAGGTCTTGAGAATTACTTATTCCCAGTTTTCTTAGAAACTGCCATATTGATTTCCAAAATGACTGCACAATTTGTACTCCCACCAACAGTAGAGGAGTGTTCCCCAACTCTACTTATTCTACAATATAAGCTGTCCTCAGTATTTTTGATCTTAGCCATTCTGACAGGTACAAGATGGTATCTCAGAGTCATTTTGATTTGCATTTCCCTGATGATTAAGGATGTTTAGCATTTCCTTAAAAGTCTTTTGGCCATTTGAGATTCATCTGGTGAGAATTCTCTGTTTAGCTTTGTACCTCATTTTTCATTGGGCTATTTTTATTTTGATGTCTAGTTTCTTGACATATTTTGGAGATTAGCCCTCTGTCCGATGTGGGGTTGGTGAAGATCTTTCCCATTTTGTAGGCTGCTCTTTGTCTTACTGAAGCTGTTTAGTTTCAGTAGGACTCATTTATTATTACTTTCGATGTCTGTGATAAAGTTGTTATATTTAGGAAGTGATCTCCTGTGCCAATCATTGAAGCCTACCTCCCACTTTCTCTTCATTTGTGTTCAGTGTAGCTGGATTTATGTTGAGGTCCTTGATCCACTTGGATTTGAGTTTTGTGTTTGGCAACAGATAAGGATTTATTTGTAATCATCTACATGTTAACATACAGTTATACCAACACCATTTGTTAAAGAGGTTTCCTTTTTCGGTCATCATTTTGGCTTCTTTGTCAAAACTTGGGTGTTCATAAGATTGATATCAGGGAATTGATTCAATTTCATTGATCCACACATCTGTTTATATTACAGTACGAAGCTGTTTTTATTACTGTAGCTCTATAGTAGAGTTTGAAGTCAGTGATGGTGATGCCTCCATAAGTGTCTTTATTGTACATTATTACTTTAGCTATTCTGTTGTATTTTTTTTCATATGAACTTGAGTATTTTTCTTTCAAGGTCTGTGAAGATGTGCTGGGATTTTGATGGGGATTGTTTTGACTATGCAGATTGCTTTTGATAGGATTGCCATTTTTATATTGTTGATCCTACCTATCCAAGACCATTGAAGATACTTTCATTTTCTGATATCTTCTTCAATTTCTTTCTTCAGAAATATAAAGAAAGAGAAATGTCAAAATAAATAACTAAATAAAAACAATTTACAGTATGTCTTTAAAAGAACTGGAAGAGATTAGCAATAGGCTCTAACTTGAACAGTTTACAAATTGAAACATCATACTTTAGCACATACAATGTACAGTTATCACATTTAAATAAACAAAATGTATTTTTTTTTTGGTTTTTGGGTTTTCTTAGAATGTTAAAGAAAATTGAAATTTGACTTTCTGAATAAAAAATTAAAATTTTTCTTGGAAACATTTTAACTTACAGCAACTGTGAATACCTGCACAAAACTTGCACAGGCTTAGTGCCAATATTTGCCATTGTAGATACAGAAAAAAATTTCAAGACTTCATCCCACTGAGGCTTTATAGGAAGCTAATAATTGCTGGTGTGTGGGATATGCTCTTTCAGTGGTGTAGCCACTGGTGAGTCATGTTCTGTAAGCAAACCTTTATCATGGTCTTGTAAAAATATCCTAATTAAACACAAAGGATTAACAAACATATTCAAAAGACATGAAAGTAAAATGGAGAGCATAAGAGAGGGCAATGAAGGTGAATACAAAATATATACATGTCTTAATGACATCCATTATGTATAAAATATAAAAGGGAACAATAGAAAGATGCCTGAGTAAAATTACTTTTTACTTAGTTTAGTTCAAGCAAATATATGATGATTTATGACCTTGTTTACCTCCATTTGTAGGAAATCAAACAATCTCTTCTTCCTTCCACCAGGAATGTAAATGGTCCATCTATATGTGTAGGTAAAACACACACACACACACACACACACACACACACACGTAATAATTTTATAAAATGATTGTGATGAGGAACAACAGAGAAGTAGAGCAAGAAAAGAGATAACCTTAATAGAGGGAGCCATTATAGGCTGAACAAGAAATCTAGCACTAAGGAAATTCCCAAGAATCCACAATGATGACCCCCAACTAAGAATCTAAGCAAGAATGGGGAAGCTACCTTTAAATGCCCTTCCCCTATAATGAGACTGATAACTACATTAAATGCCATCCTAGAGCCTTCATCCAGTAGCTGACGGAAGCAGAAGCAGATCCACAACTAAGCACTGAGCCAAACTCCTGGGATCCAACTGTAGAGAGGGAGGAGTGATGAGCAAAGGGGTTAAGACCCCTTCTGTGGGGAAACTCACAGAAACAGCTAACCTGAGCAAGTGGGAATTAACAGACTCCAAACTGATAGCTAGAGGACCACCATAAGACTGAACCAGGCCCTCTGATCCTGGGTGTCAGCTGGGGAGTTTGGGCAGTCTATGGGACCTCTGGCAGTGGAACCAGTATTTATCCACAGTGCACAAATGGGCTTCTGGAGCCCACTACCTATGGGGGGATACTCTCTCAGCCTAGATAAATTGGGGAGGGCCTAGGTCCTGCCCCAAATGATGTGACAGAATTTGATGATCCTTGATTGGGAGTCCCCACCCTCCCTTCCCTGAGGAGTGGATGGAGGGTGGAATGGGGGAGGAATGGTGAGAGGAATGGGATTGTTATGTAAAACAAGATTGTTTGTAATTAAAATGAAATTTTATTTTTAAAAAAGATTGTGGAAATTATCTGATATACATATATATATACATACACGCATATATATGTATATACACATACATGAAAACATTTTATTTTGCTCATTTAACATTTAGGAAGGATATATCACATATAATTTGATATTTCTAAAATAAAGAACAAGTCAGATAAAGATATAGGTTAGAGTTATTGTAACTTTCCATTAAATTTCCTATTTCTCTATTAACCTAGTATCTAGCTGATGTGTGTATGATAGAAATAAAACTCTGTGACATTTGACTGCTGGATCAAAGGCTAAAATACTGAGTAACTGGTAAGAAGCCTTCTCATTTTAATATGACAATTTATTTTTCACTTAACTCTTTACTAACCATAAAGCCCAAAAATAAGTCTCTAATTATCAATCCTCCATAAGAATAAAATTCAGAATAAATAATTATAAGAAACTCATGTCCTCTTCCAAATCACAGACACGATTACTCTCTTAATTATAAGGGTAAATCTGTTTCATAACTTTTCATGTAACTAAACATACCTAAATGTAACAGACTCTTACACTACAAGACCTTTGAGACATGTCTGACTGGCAGTTCCATAACCTTGTCTGGAGAGAAAGGTGACCTGATAGTTTCTACAACCAGAAGAAAAACATTAGGCATGAGATGTGATTCTCCAATGTTGAAGAAACATTTAGATGGATATAATCATTACATGGAATGTTCCTAAAACTAGAACTGCTATATTTAGCAAATACAGATTTCATGGTGATAAATATCAGGAGGAAAATGACTGCAATAAAATTAATCATTGTCTGAAATTAAGAGCTAACCATAATTCTGCTTGGAAGCCAGTTGTGGTAGGTAAGTCTGGAGGAATTTGATTTCTGCAACTTATTTGTGTTTTCACTAGTCATTAACTTGTGTCTCATCACAGGTGTAATGGGAACTACAGAAGTACTTCTGTTTGCACACTGTGTTGCCTTCAACCTCCTTCAGATAGTAGTACTGAGTATGAAAATCTCACTTGCCCTTATGAGTCAATACGTCAAGCATGACCAGGAAATCAAGGTATAACACAAGGAACAGGGCATTTAAACAACTGTTCCTAAGGTTTGAACGTTACAACAAAATGAAGACAGTTACAAGAGTATCCAGGTGAGAGGAACAAATAATTATGTCTAATCAGCAAATAGTCTTTCCTTGTGTTTTTTTCAGCTTCTAGGAAAAAATACTTCGGAAAGAGATCAAACACTTGCCATCAGACTCAGTATTCATACTAAGAACACACAGGACTTTTGTACCACTTTCATACTGAGGAATTGGTACAGGTTGCAGATTCATATTAAAATCCATCTGAGTCAAGAATACAGTAGAGGAGAAAAATGAGGGGAGATGAAATGGGCTGTGAGAATGAAATTTTGACTTTGTAGGGACATCTTTGCAAAGCACAAATAAATACTGATTACTTGAAGAAATCTAAAAGACTTAAACAAAAAATGATACATAGGTGTAAAATATTGTAGCAAAACCTTACTGTCTCCCCCATTACTTGGAGATTTTAAGTAGATTATCTTCATATATGTATGAAACAATTTTAGTAATCTACTACTGTATTTTGTTTCTATGTGACCACTCAAACTAGCCTTAGTGTTAACTGTCTCTTGGCCCCTTGTTCACTCCCCTTCTTCTTTTTATCCTCCTATCCTCTGTCCATCCATAGATACATACTTTATTTTCCATTTTTAGGGATATTCAACCCTCCCCACTAATCACTTTCTCTATACCTAACCATTATTGTTATATGTATTTAAAATTTAGCACCCATATATAAGTGAATACATAAGATACTTGTCTTTCTGGGCCTTGAATACTTCACACAGATTCATTTTTTTTCTAGCTCTATCCATTTACCTGTGAATTTCACTTTATAATTTTAAGTGGCCGAATAATAACATTCCATCCTATATATGTGCAATCTTTTTATTCATTCACCCATTGAAAAACATCTATGCTGTTTATAATTTCTGAATATTATAAACAGAACTGCAATTAACATGATTGAGCAAGTGTCTCTATCCTTTGGGTATATGCTCAAGAGTAGAAGAGCTAGAAATTCAGGTAGAACTATTCTCACATTTCCAAGTAACTACTACAGTAATTTCTTCCATAACTGTATAATTTTGAACTCCCACTAGCAGTGGATGTTTGTGCCTCCTCCTACAAATCCTAACCAGCAATGTCATTTTTATTTTTATTGGCAAGTGTAATTGAAGGGTGTGAGATGAAATCGGAAAGTAGTTTTGATTTGAATTTCCCTGATGGCAAGGAAATTGAACATTTCTTGTTTTCCTTTTTATTATTATAATTAGTATTCCTTATTTTACATATTGATCCCAGTTCCCTCTCCTTCCCACCATCCCATGCTCCCCGAATCTCCCTCCCATTTCATTCCCCACCTACTCCAAAGGGAAGGTGAGGCCTTTCAGGATGGATCATCAAAATCTGTCAAGTCATTTGGAGGAGGGTCTAGGCTCTCCAACCTATCTCTAGGTTAAGGGAGTATCCCTCCAAGGGGAATGTGCTCCCAAAGTCCTTCATTCACCAGGGATACATCCTGGTTCCACTGTCAGAGATCCCATAGACTGTCCATGCCTTCTAATTGAGACCCATGTTCAGGGGGTCTGGATCAGTCCAATGCTGGTTTGCCAGCTATCACTCTGGGGGCCCATGAGTTCCCCCTTGTTCAGGTCAGCTGTCTCTGTGGGTTTCTGTAGCCTTGTCTTGACCCCTTTGCTTATCATTCCTCCCTCTCTGAAACTGGATTCTAGGAGTCAGTTCAGGGTGTAGTTGATTCTGTTTCCAAACGCTACTAGATGAAGGTTCTAGGATGACATATAAGTTAGTTATCAATATAAGGTTGGTATTAAACTCATTATTGGGGAAGGGCATTTAAGTTAGACTCTCCACTGTAGCTCAGATTGTTAGTTGGGGGTCAATTTTTTAGGTCTCTGGACATTTCTCTAGAGTCAGTTTTCTCTTCAAACCTATAATGGCTCCCTCTATTATGGTATTTCTTTTCTTGCTCTTGCCTATTCATCCTCTGACTCAATCTTCCTGGTCCAACATGTTCTCCTCTTCAACCCTTCTCTTTCTCCTAACTCCCTCTCCATACACTGTCCTCATGATATACAATTTAGTACAGATAATTACCTACAGTAGTCAAAACTTAGAGTTTAGTTAGGTTTTCAAAATTTATTTGAGATATATTTGAGATGGTAGGGATTTTTCAAATCTTTCAAAGACCTACAGAATATGGCATTTAAAATGGTTTAGGATTTTTCTTAACAGTGAGGCACAACTGCTCCTGGCAACACCACCTGCATCAAAAAGGAAGATAGACATAGAAGAAACTCATAATGGAGTTTGCTTTCAATATGGTAAGACTAGCCATTTAGGCAAGATACTTCTCTTGTCTGGACTGTTTGACTTTATGCTGTATACACTGAACATGCAGGACCCACAGAAAAGTGACTGCTGATTCAATATGGACATTGCTATAGGGTTCCTGGTTCATGGAAGAGTCTGCCAGACAGTCTACAGGACACACACATACAAGAAGTGACTGACAAACTTCCAATACAGATGGACAGTTTAAAGTTTCCTTCTTTGCTGAAGAGTCTGTCTCATGCACTATTGTCTATAGACTGACAATTACAGAAGAACTTTGGGTAACTAATCAGGCAAAATGTCTCTGTCATTTCTAGAGTTCATATATTATCCCTCTGTGGTCTTTGAAGGAGTTGAAGACAGATAATTCGTTATAGTTTTTCTTAGTTAGGATTAAAGTTACATGTAGGACTTTGAACTCACAAAGATAGGATAGATGATAGAATATTTTCTTTAAATCTTGCTAAATGTAGCAGACTAAATATTGTTAACTGTGGTTCTTATTTGATAACTGTTTTGTTATATATTTTGCTATGTTAAGGTTAAAACCCTTCTTTTTATTTTAGACAGAAAAGAGGAGATGATGTGAAATGCCATTCTGTAAATGTGTTTCTATTAATGGTTAATGAATAAAGTACTGTTGGCCAATAGGAAAGCAAGATAGGCTGGACTAGGAGACAAGGAGGAGGGAAGAAGTAGGAGGAGTTTCAAGATGTAGGAACAATAGAGTAGAATTTTAGGCCCTCTCTCCGGTAAGATAAGACCATGTGGAAATACTTAGATTAATAGAAATGGGTTAATATTTAAGACAGAGCTAACCAATATGAAATTCTAGTAACAGGCTAACATGTTTATACCAAATACAGCATCCCTGTGTGTTATTTGGGGCTGGCGCAGCAGTGGGACCAGACAGGCAAGAAAACATACTCGTAACAGAAGCTAGCCGCCAAAGTACCAAATAATCAAATTAAATTTAGGGACAGAACTTAATAGAGAATTCTCAATAGAAGAATCTAAAATAACTGAAAGACACTTAAGAAAGTGCTCAACATCCTTAGCCATCAGGGAAATGTAAATCAAGGCAACTCTGAGATACCATCTTACTCCAGTCAGAATGGCTAAAATCAAAAACACCAATGACAGGTTATGCTGGAGAGGATGTGGAGAGAGGGAACACTTCTCCACTGCTGGTGGGAGTGCAAACTTGTACAGCCATTTTGGAAATCAGTATGGCAGTTCCTCAGGAAAATGGGAATCAAGTCTACCACAGGACCCAACAATTCCACTCTTAGGCATATACCCAAATGATCCACATACATGCAACAAAGACTACTGTTCAACTATGTTCATAGCAGCTTTATTTATAATAGCAAACCCTGGAAACAATCTAGATGCCCCTCAACTGAAGAATTGATTAAGAAGATGTGGTACATTTAGACAATGGAGTACTACTCAGTGGAAAATAAAAAAAAAATGGAATCTTGAAATTCACAGGCAAATGGATGGAACTTTTAGAAACCATCCTGAGTGAGGTAATCCAGTCACATAAAGAGCAACAGGTTATGTACTCACTCATATATGGATTTTAGATGGGGGCAAAGGATTCACACCACCAGAGAAGCTAGAGATTGAGGAAAACCCTAAGAGACATACACAAGGTCCCCTAAATCAGAGAAAATGGACAAGTTCTCTTGAGCATATTGGGAGCCTGGTACAGGGCAGTGAGTGGAAAGGGAGTTAGGAGAAAGAGAAGGATAGAAGAGGAGTGGAGAGAAGTACATGAGTGGTCATGATAATTGAGTCAGGGGAGTAATGTAGGAGAGCAAGAAAAGAGATACCATAATAGAGGGAACCATCTTTAGGTTTTAAGAGAAATCTGGCAATAGGAAAACATCCATAGACTTACAAGGATGACCCCAACTAACAATCTGAGCAATAGTAGAGAGGCTAACTTAAATGCCCTTTCCTGATAATGAGATTGATACCTACCTTATATGCCATCCTAGAGCCTTCATCCAGTAGCTGATAGAAACAGAAGCAAATACCCACAGCTAAACATTAATCCAAACTCCAGGAATCTAATTGCAGAGAGGGAAAAGTGATGAACAAAGGGGTCAGTACCAGGCTGCAGAAACCCACATAGACAGATATTCTGAACAAAATGGAGCTCATGAACCCCCAGATTGATAGATGGGAAAGCAGCATAGGACTGAGCCAGACCCCCTGTGCATGGGTCTCAGTTAGAAGGCCTGGGCAGTCTATGGAACCTCTGACAGTGGAACCAGGATGTATTCATGGGGCATGAAAGAACTTCAGGAGCCCATTCCCCATAGAGGGGAATATTTAGCCAACTATCTTTTTTAAAGCTGTTTAGTGTGAGTTATCTCTAACCCCATTCCCTCTTCTACATAATCCTCCCATCCAATTCGTGGAATCCTCCCTGTTTGCTCATTATTCCCCTTTATATGACTGTTCCAGTCCCTCTCCTTTGAAAGATCTCCACTTTCCCATGGTTCTTTACAAATTTTCTAACTTTCCAAAACAAATATACATATCTGAGGAGTCAAAACTCACATCAGCAGAAGAGAGAAAACATGAAATGCTTCTGTTTCTATGTCTGGATTACC